ATCCCGCTGAGACCAGCCTTCCAGAGTCTCATCCTGTTGAGACCCCCCTTCCAGAGTCCCGTCAAGACCACCCTTCCAGAGCTTCACGTCATGCCTGTCATGCCTGTCAAGCCTGAGCTTCTTTACGTCAAACCTGAGTTTCTTCACGTCATGCCTGTCAAGCCTGAGCTTCTTCACGTCATGCCTGTCAAGCCTGAGCATCTTCATGTCGTGCCTGTCAAGCCTGAGTTTCATGCCACGCCTGAGCCCTCGTCTCTGGCCAAGATGGCCGCTGCCACGCCTGAGAATCTGTCTCCGGCCAAGATGGCCGCCGCCTCGCTGCCTGAGCCCTCAGCGGAGATGGTCGCCGCTACGCCTGAGTGGGTTCCTGAGCCTGAATTCCCCCCCAACCTTCCTCTCCCGCCTCCTCTCATCATCCAGCCACCATCCTCATCTCCTCTGCCTCCTGTCAGCCCCATCACTCCCCCTCTACACGCCAGTGGAATGGTGGGCTCACTGAGGGGCTTCCATTCCTCAGCACCATCTTGGACAGTGCATGCCTGGGATCCTACTCAAGCCACCGCGTCCAGGATTCCACATCGGCCCATCAGTCCACTAGCTCACCCTTGGCTCCTACCTCCTTCGTCTCCGCCGTGGCCCATCAGTTCACCACTTCCACCAGGCTCCCTCGTCCCCCCGGATCCGCCTTGGTCCCTCGTCGACCTTCCATCACCTCTCTACTGCACTTCTCTGGCTTCGCCTCGTCCCCTCGTCGTTACAGCGTGGGGCCGCACCTTCCAGGAGGGGGCGTACTGACACTGTGACACCTGTCTTGGACTTTGTTTTGCCTTATGTGTTTGTGCACCATGTGTTTCATTGTTAATCAGTTTCACCTGTTACCTGTCATAATCCTCATCACAGACATGATTTCATGATGACATGACTCACTGTGGGCAGCTGTTGTCACTTAGTCTGCTCATTTGTCTGTGTATAGTCTCCCTAGTTTCAGTTCTCACTTGTCGGTTCTCGTCTTCAGTTTGCTAAGATTGGTACGTGTCTGTAACGAGGGTGCAGTACGGTACAGTAAAGTACAGTACGATTCGGGACAATAAACCTTGATCCGGCTTGCGTTTCCACCGCCAACAGTATCCTTACTTGACAGGCATGGTGTAGCGTTTGACGTCATTCTCGTGCGAAGAAGAAAGTACACAGTAAACAACAATGGAGGACGTACAGCAGATCTTGTTCTGGTTTGAGCTTTGTTAGGATGCATGGAAAAACACAGCCGAAAAACCAAGTGCAAGTGACGATTCTCTGTCATTCAATCAACGCAATGAGTCTAGCTCCACCCTGTAAGTACCAAACCACTGTGGTAGGTACCCCAATGGAAGGGTCCCAAAAAATGGTACGGTACGGTTCGGGATTTTGGTGGTCAACTTCTGACAATCGAAATAGAAATAATTGCATAGCGTGTACCATACCGCTCGGTGGAAACGAGCCATTAGTGCCGTGGTTTCCAAACTGGGGGGCAAGGCTAAGGTATAGTGTACAGTCAGCGAATTGTTATGAAAAAGAAGCCTCTTCGAGGTGATACAAGACCCCACTGTGTAATTATCCCACTTATTATGCAGCTACTTGCCAGATAAGTAAATAATTTAACACAAAATATTAATTTGACATATTTTACTCAGTACATGCTTGAGTGGTCTGTTATCAGTTGTATCAGTTGTTATCAGTTGTTGTCTTGTAATAACAGACCGCTAATGGCATGATTGTAGAATCAGAATTTAGTATTGCAGTGAGCCGTGTGAAAATATAAATGAATCATGCATGGTTCTGCACTAAGCTGAAATATTAGCTTCTGACAGTATGAAGCCGAACAAGTCAAGATGCCACTTAGAGGCTTCACAGAGAAGCCTGTTGAAGTTAAGAAATTGTACTGTATTAATTACAATGTTTTAAATTACTCCTATTGGATGTCTGAGAGTGTTTTTTTGTGGGTGCATGTAGGTGAGGGCTTGAAAATATTTTTCTCTACAAAAGGGGGGCCGGCAGAAAACATTTTTGAACCGCTGCCTTTGTGGAATTTTGCTGACAAAAAAAGGTCCATTGTGTATTTTGGCTTTAAATACATTCAACATTTTTCCCCTTAAGGGAAATTCCTGATCCTACAGATTCCTACTGAAATGCAATGGTAAATGTGACCGCACCTTTAGTCTTACATTTAAAGGAGGGAATCTGAGTCATATCTAGAGACCAGAATATCATAGAGATTTGGGGGTGGGCCACCCTAGCAACGGCATAGCAATGCCCTGGCAACCACTCACAATAAATTAGCATTATGTCGGCTATTTGCGAGCGCCCTTACAAAATGTATCTAGTTTTTTTTGTGGTGGTAGTTGTTTTTATTGATATTATCATTCGACTGATCACTTCTGGTTTGTTACAAGGCAACTGGCTGATAATAGTTGCCATGGGAATCTTGAGTATGAGTTGGACTTGTGCTGTTAAAGAGGCCACAGGTTATTTTTGTGTATGCATAGTGTGAGTCAGACTATACCAAAGACTGCTGACATCCCTTCCCAAAGTACACTTGCACCACTTCTGTCTAATGATCTCCTACCAAAGTGGCATAATAACAATGCGTGAACATGACGGTTAGCCCACCAAATACCAAATCTGTAGTGTAAAAGAACCAGAGGATCAGAGAGGATATTATTCCACAGAAAAATCATTGTATTATTTCAATAAAGGATCACTAGTAAAGATGCTTTGAGGGGAAACAGAGCAAGAAAGTGCATTAGGAAGAGGGAGAGGGAGTCGAGAGTTTCCTCCCACGTACACATACAGGAAGTCACTGCTGTGCAGATGCAAAGCGTCACTAGTGGGGCTGACTTATCTGTGCTGAGGTAATGCAACAGACCACTTTTTGATTCAGACAAGAGATGAGATACAAATTAAATGTTTACACAACTATTAAGATCAGGACACTTCACACACTCTTACACAAAGGCAAGGTTCTCCTTTTTCATTTCCGTGCCGTGATTCTGGACCTCCTCGCACCACATTGTGAGGTTTAAAGGGCAGTGACCAAAGACCACAAAAAAGGATGAGAGATCACTCCAAACATCAAACATCCTGGAAACACAGAGGGAGGAAGCAGTTTCATTAGCCTGTGGAAGAATTCAGACCAAAACAAAACAAGCAAGAACAGTTTGTGCGTATTTTTGCGCGCACAGGAATGTGTGTAGGCTGCTCCGTTTCTACCATATAGTGATTACAGACATCATTGGTAAAGCTTACTTGTTTGTGTTTGTGTGCAACAGAGAAGAGAACTTTGAATGTGGAGGATTTATTGGAGGTTGAACTCTAAGTTTGTGTGAGTAATACGGAAGAACGTAGGAGAGGGAGGAGATGGAAGAGATGAGAGGAGGTTACCCGTAATAACAAACCAGGAGATGCTGAAAAGAGAGAGACTATGTTCTAAAATGCCTACTGCTACGGCACAGTATACTGCATACTGCCGACAATTTTTAAATGCAGTATGTAAAAGTTAATGCATTATGGATAAAAAAAATGCAAACTGATATCCTTTTTTGGGAAAATCACTGTTTTGAAAGCAAAACTGGTAACCTAACCTAATCTTCTAATCTTAGTCAAGAAATACATTAATTTTGCTGCTGATGTAACTTCCGTTCCTTTGTCATGAGGAAAAGAAAGTCCAGATTGAGCGCATTGGATTGTGGGATACTGTATTCTGCCCAGTGTGCTCTAAAACTGGACATTTTGATGCAATGAGTCTGGGTATTTCATGCATAAGGAACATTATTATACTGCACACAGTATAAATATACAGCAGAAATAGTAAGAGTAACGTATGCTGTATTCAGCATTGTCAGAGAAAAAGCAAGTGATACAGTGAGTAAGGGTGCAACATATCCTGTTTTGGAAACCGCAGCCACTGGTGTATGTGTGTGGTTGACCGGATGAGGTCAAAGGTGCAAGGGGGGTTCAGATAAGCAGCATGGGGAATTAGGGAATGAATGGAAGGGCAGTTGTTCAGCTGGGTCATTGGCAGAAATTTGAAAGTAACACATTTGCCCTCCTGGGAAAGAGAAAGTGGAACATAGTTTATCAGCCCCCCCTACGCTTCTTATTTACGACCAACCATAACCGGGAGGTGCTGGCCTGGTGCGCAGCATGTCTTTCCCGGCACGCTCTGCGTACGGGAAGCCAGCAGCCGAGGTCCTCCCTGAGCTTTATTGATCTGGAAGTTGTTTGTCAGGGTGAGGGCTGCTGAGGACGACGCAAGATGAGACGCTCCTGCAGAAGGCCAAACGGAGAACAGAAACAGAGCGGAGGAGAGGGAGGAGCAAAAGCCAATAAAAGTGTAATGGACTGCACAAAAATAGAACATTTAATTGGGAGGAAGTGGGCGAAAAAAATGGAACAATGAGGAGGAAGAAAGGCATGTGATTAAAATGCCGGAGGTCGAGATGGACTCCACCCCACCTCACCTCATACCAAACGCTCACACAGTGGCAGGGACAACACGGCAAGTCCTGCCTTCTCATCTCTCCAGCGAACTGTTTTTCCTGTGTATTCCCATGCAAAAGGTCAGGTCATTGTTCTACAATGATAAAGTGGATGTTCATCCTGTGTGGGGCACAGTGATCTTGTAGCTACAACAAATCTGTCAAGTGGCTATATATAATGCCTAAACAAGTTATTAATTCACATTCGCTGAGCCACAAATGTCCTCAATCAATATATAAAAAAACCTATCTATCTATCTATCTATCTATCTATCTATCTATCTATCTATCTATCTGGTGCCACATGGCTGTGCAACAGTGCTGTAAAAAAAATCTACATCTCTCTCTCACTTTCTCTCTCCTCCTCCTCCTCCTCCTCCTCCTCTCCCTCTCCCGCCTGCACTTTAGACTAGCACACTGTGTCATTCCCTCTCTCCCTTCTCTCCTCCTCCCACCTTGAGCTTTACATCGCATTGACTGATCCGTCACTCACTGGATGAGGATGTGGGAGGATAGACTTCAAACATAGAGTGTGCCTCACAATAAACCTGCACCTTTCGTTTTGTTGTACTAAATCTTCTTTTGAGTTTATCATTCGAGTTTTAGGGATGCAGATGTGAACGCGCTTTTTACTTTGACTTCACTTTTTTTGTGTGTGTGACATCGCGCGCATTCTGAATCAAATCCAAACCCGCTGAGATTTACCTATCTTCTCCAGTCGGAAAAACATCAAGGAGAAGAGGACACGGTGAACAATTTTTAACTACAGAAGCATCAATACTCATTAACAAAGTTTCCAAGAAATTCACAGGCGCACCGAGAAAGATTTCCTCTTTGCGAATCCCGTTTCCTCAGCGCATTCGGAGAAAGAGGGGGGCTCGAGAAATCATGGTGGTTTCTATAGAGAGGGTCAAGAGACCAAAGTTACACTCCTGTACGTTGGGTGAGTCGGTTTGAGCTGCAATAATCGACGCGTTTTCTCCGAGGGAACAGTTTTGCCTCCACATTCACAAGACACGGATTTTAACGGTTTGAAAGAACGGCAGACTTGCAAGTGATGATTCCAAATGACGTCCTGTGGTAATATATTAATTAAATTAATTGTAGCCTACTATATGTTTATTCTGTTCAGTAAAGCTTTATTTAAAAGTGTGTTTTAATATATTAACGTTGAAGTGAGGACACGTTCTTGCGTCCCGTCGACTGCGTTGGTAAATTCTGTACACTTGCGTTACTCTTTATAGAAGGTCAATAACGCATCGTTTTTTTTTTTTTTTTTTTTTTTTTTAGCTTGGCGTTTCAAGCCGGGTAAAGTGAAACGTGTGTTAAATGTGTAAGAACGCGTCTCCAAACCCCATGGTTCAGTTTGATTCGGTTTTTGGACACCAAAACGCCTCGTGTGCGAATGTGGTTGAGAACGGCCCTGTAAAATATATTATTAGGCTATTATAATTAAATAACTATTATTATAGGATAGTCTTCTCAATTATGAAGAATGTAATTATATAATATGTTTAATTAATGGGACCCTTTAAAAACAAAGTTTTCAAAAGGTGATTTTTTTCTTCGCAGCATGCCATTAAAGAACCACTTTGGGTCCTCCAAAGAACCTTTCAGTGAACAGTTTTTTAAAAGAACTACATTTTCTTATTGCAAATAAATTTTTAATGATCTGAAGAAACTTTTTGCACTATAAAGAAGATTTTGTCCAACGAAACGATTCTATGGATTTTTAAAGTTCATGGACGCGTGATGCCATTATAGAACAGTTATTTTTCATAGTATCACATTCTACTTTTTGTTGAAGTAGTAGACATTTTAAGTAGTATAATATTTTCTTTTCTCATTTCATTTCTATGAATAAACAAGTAACTTTGTGAATGACAGACATTCTCTGTTGTGCAGAAAGTGCATCTCAAATGTGTCTCTGTCTTGATGTTTTCAGAGTCTTAGTCCTTGCTATTCATTTTGAGAATGAAAGCGTTCCGGATGGGGCCATTGAGGCTAACTCTTCTAGTTCTGCTGAGTGGTGTGTCATTTGGAGTGGTTGAACTGGAGCCCCTCCCTCAAAACCAGCCTCAGTCTCTCAGTCCCTATCCACCTCAAAAGAACATCACCTTGGCAGTCATCCTACCTCTACACAACACAGAGTACCCCTGGGCATGGCCCCGGGTGGGCCCTGCCTTGTTTTGGGCCTTGAACAAGGTGAATTCTGACCCCAACCTGCTGCCTGGCTACCATCTACAATTGGTCTTCAATAGCAGCGAAAACAAAGAAGGAGTATGTTCGGATTCAGTGGCTCCTCTTGTGGCCGTGGACCTAAAGTTTTCATATAACCCTTGGGCTTTCATCGGGCCGGGTTGTGACTACTCGTCCTCACCCGTGGCCCGCTTCACCACGCATTGGGAGGTTCCGATGATCACAGGTGGGGCAAGGGCGCTAGGTTTCGATTTGTACTCGTCCATCACCAACATCGGTCCTACCCACCAGAAGTTGGGTGAGTTTGTGCTCAGGATGCACCATCATTTCGGCTGGCACAAACACGCCATGCTCATGTTTAGCGATAATAAGAAAGATGACCGGCCGTGCTACTTTGCCGTGGAGGGGCCGTACACAGAGATGCATAAAGACAACATCACAGTAGAAGACATGGTGTTTAATCAGGATGATGAACCCCTCCCTTATGATGAGTTTGTCCGGGACATCAGCCATAAAGCTCGCGGTAAGTGTGACATGGGTGGGCAAGGGATGTCAAGTAGAAATAGTAGGCTAATGTTAAATGTCACATTGGTCAAAAGAAAAAGCTCTTGTTCAAATGATCTGAATGTCATTGATTTGAGGAAGCTCAGCTCATTTTTGTCATAATTATTTATTGTAGCACATTCAAAAGCTACGTTCACACAGCAGCGTAATACAGTTGTCAGTCCCATTTAGAGTACTAAATACTCTTTTGAAAAAGAAGTGTGCTCAATCATATTGAACGTCCACTTGTAAGTGTACTTCAAATCTTAAATGTACTTGCTAATACCAAGTTCTGTCATGAAACTCTAGATGGCACAGGCTGATAGATCCTTAACTCAATTTGGTAGTGATTTCATCGGTATCTACATGCGCATAGCGTCAAATTATTACAAAAAACATTACATCCAGTTCACACTTAAGTATATTCTTTAAAGTATATATTTTCATAATAAGTACTTTTTAAAAGTATGCTTTTTCACAAGAGTATGGTTGTGTTTATAATCAGTTTAGTTATGTAAACAAACTCACAACTTGAAATATACAAGTTTAGATGATATGCGCTGAACTGCAGCGTCACGTCATTGCATTCAATACATAAGTACTGTATGGGTGGTTTATGTCTGTCTAACATTAATGATAGTGCTATTAACCTCTCTCAGTTTATGAAAAATATTGTGTGGTTGAGTTTGAAAGGGGTTGGAATCAGCATTTTGAAATGCCGAACAATTTAGAATAAGAATAAAATCCATAAAGAGACTAAACAATTTTGATATTTAAATAGTTTTCTTTCTCTGTGGTTGCCTGCATTATTCATGAATTGGAGAAGAGTATTGACTTTGGTTTCCTGCCAATATAGATGTTATTTGATCTATTCTTGTCTCCCTTTAAATGCGCAGGACAATTTGAGAGTCACACCTGGTATAAAAATTAAATATGGTTGTCAATTCTGAACATTATCTGTGTTTGCATGCAACCAAATAATCCATTAGTAATCAGACCGATGGCTCAATTGGACTGAAAATCTGAAAAGTCTGCATGTAAACACATCTATTGATCTAGGGTACATTTCCCGTACCGCTACTAGGTTGAGTTCTCCCAAAAATGGAAATTCTGTCATCATTCACTTACCCTTATGTTGTTCCAAACCTGTATGAGTTTCTTTCTTCTGTTGAACACAAAAGAAGGTAACCAGACAGTTGACGGTTGACCAGACAGTTTTTTTTTTTCCTACTATGAGAGTCAATTGCTATCGTCAACTGTCTGGCTACCAACATTCTTCAAAATGTCTTCGTTTTAGTTCAACAGAAGAAAGAAACCTATACAGGTCTTTAACAACATAAGGGTGAGTAAATGATGACAGAATTTTCATTTTTGGGTGAACCAAACCTTTAACCACCAAAAACATAGTAACTTTGTCGCACATGTCATTTTAACAAAACATATTTCAGGAAACAGAATCGCTGAACTATGCTGGTAACGATGGATCTTATGACCATATTTGGCAAACAATGCTTTTGGGAAACATACCCCTGATTGAGTTCGATCTGAATGAAATTCAATAGGATTGAAAGAGTCTGATCTGATCAACAAGTAAAATAAAGCTCGTAAACATGTCTCACGAACATGCATATGTTTATGTAGGCCTACGTCTTGCGTGTTACAAACGGCTCAGTGGAGGAGACTGAATATTTACAAAATATTTGCTAAAAAGCTCTTGTGACATATATGTCAGCTTTATTTTTAGATATGTCACCAAGGCACGGTGGCTCAGGTGACATTATCTCAGTGACTTTCTCCGGTTCTGAATGCGGCAACTGAAGCCGTGATGTGCTGAAGGTTTGTTCAGAATACATGTAATGTACATGTAAATTAATATGTAAATCAGATTGCAAAGTTTAGGGTTCATAAATATAAACTGAACATACAGAATCTGAAATTGGATTGGATTCATTCGGCTTGATGAAAATTAGTCACCTTTTATTTATTATTTATATAGCGCTTTTTACAATACAGATCAAAGCAGTTCAAAGCAGTGCTACAGTGATAACAGGAAAATAATGCAACAGATTTTGTTTCTGCTGTACACCAGATATAGAAGGAAATAGTTTCATTGGCCAGCTTAAGTAAGTTCAGTGATTGATCATTTTTGCTGTAAAAAAGTTATTAATTTAGTTCATTTATTTATTTATATATATATATATATATATATATATATATATATATATATATATATATATATATACATATAGCCACTCTGGACAAAACACTGATGTCATTGTCCAGCTCAGTTCAGTTCTCATATAATGGTGTCAATGCAGGTAGATCAATAATATTGTTGAGTATTAAGTGAGCAATGTGAATATTAAGTTGAATATGAAAATGAATAGTGCATGTACAGTAAATATACCTGACTGACTGAATGAAAGCAGCCAACGTGTTTATCTGGTAAAAAAAAAATATATATATGTTTTTACTCTTCTCACTATATGTCACCTGTGTTTTTATAGAGTTGTGTGCCCTCAAAATGTTTAAATAAATAGTAATTAATACAAATCTAAAAATAATGAAATAATTATAAATCACAAATTTAAAAAATAGCATTAATTTGATATTTCACTGGCTGAATATGATAAATTCCAATTACAAAAGTATACACTCCTATAACAATATGTTCTAAGATAACAAAAGAAGAACAACATTACATTTGACTGCTAATGCAAATATTGACATAAATGTGACTGACAGGTTTATAACTAGACAGATTTGCCTATAGACAGATTTATTACTCAAGTGTGTCTGTGAGCCGACACAGGAGAGCAAAAACAGGAAGAAGCCCCCTTGAGTTCATCTGTCCCCGAGGCCCGAGAAATGAGTCCACTGAAGCACAGCTCTGGAAACTATTAACATACAAGAGATGCAAGAGCACTCTACCTTGTCCCCGTGCCCCTGCAGAGGTTGATAGAAACACTTGAGCATTTCATAAAAGTTTGTACAGGTAATAAAATCCTGGCTGGGAATATGCAAATTGGAGAAAGACACAAATGGAGAGAAAGAGATGTATAGAAATGATGAGAAGGGAAGGAGTACAAACGGAATAATTTTGCGAAAATTGCTGCCTCACTGTTGGCGACACACACCAGGTGAAAGAGACATGAGAGTCAAGGTCGCCTCCTCTTCAGGAAACAGGAAACTAGCTGTGAAAAGTTTGTAATATACTTTTATTAAAAATTCTCATTAGTATTGTAAGAAAACACTCATTTTACCTGGTCAAAAACAGCTCTGTTTTCAGCACGCCGTTTCAGTGCATGTGTCTTTAAATGATAATGAGCTTCGCTCACTCCGCCCCTCTGTTCTGCGGGCGTTTTGACACAATGCACGTGGAGTGTTGCCTTGACAACAGTTGAGGGTATATTTTGGAGAGAGAATGGCAGTGGGAGTCTCTGAGGACACATCAGTGCAATCGTATCAGTTTGAACCGGAGTCGGACCCGGAACAAGTTGACGGCCCCGAATAAGTTTGACAATTAAGGCTCGAACAGGACGTTTCTGAATGGTTGGTTAACGTAATGTCACTTTGATCTATCTTTGTATGTACTGGCAGGATAACGTTAGAGTAACTTAGTGAGACGTACGGACGCTATGTGTTTACTGATGTAACTTATACGTACTCAGTTTGTAATAACACAATAACCATAACGCGTTGTTCATTATAAACGTGGGATTATGAATTATATTGAGAACGTCGTACATAGAAAACATGCCGCAATGTACCCTGAGTGTAAACCTTAGCCGCATTCATCGTGAAGCGTGCAAGCGATTTGCAAAGATTAAAGCTCCAGTCGGCAAGTCTGGCAGATTGAGTGGATTTAGGAAAATTTTGAATGTTTACAACTCTCATGCCCCTCCCCCACTATCAACGGATACCCTCCCACCCAGTTCATGCTCGTCAGTGCGTGTGCACCAGATTTTCAGTGAACGCCAGGGCTCTCAAGTGTCACGCATTGAGCGTGACAGTCACTCATTTCGGTCTTTTGTCACGCTCTCCCGCCACACATTGTATTTTTTCCACGCTGAAAAACTATTTGTAATATATGTAATATGCCGCAGCGCCCAAAACTCTGGCCGCGCTGCTCTCACTGTGGAACCGGCATGAATCAAGCGCGTTTCCTCTGGTGTTGTTCGTCGAGCTACACAATAGCCAATCAGAAAATAGCACTATTGTATCTGGGTAAGATTTAACGCAACAACCAATGACAAAAATGTATCCAACCCCCCGTCGGCTAGGTGTCACTCTTACCTGTCTTCAAAACTTGAGAGCCCTGGAACGCGCCCGTCTCATCAGCATCCATCAACACCATGGAGTATTTGGAGGTATGCTGTCCTGGCTAATCTACCGATAGATTGCAATTGCTAACGTCATTTATACTCTAAATGAGCTTACTTGATTTTCCGCCATCACTCTTCGTTACTCCGCGAACTTCAGGCGTGTGCATGTGATTGTAACGTGCGCGAGGGGTGGCGTGTGCCCGATCTGTGATTGACAGTCAGATCTCACACCCCCCTGCGCTGATTGGACCCGATGAACCGGGAGCTGTGGATTTTTGCAAAACAAATAACAAGCTCCAGGTGGAGTTAGAAGCTCGGGGTTTTTTCTAAAACCACTTTATTTATGTTGTTCTGTCAGATTATAGTGTCGATTTCACTGAATATGATAAAAAAAATGTTGCCGACGGCAGCTTTAATAGAAGGTTAATAAAATGTTACACTTACTTCTTCTGGATGTGCAGCAGGGACATGAATCGTTGGTACCGATTATTTTTTCAGGAGCAGCTTCTTAGCAAAACCAGCTTTATACTGACCCTCGTTTATAAAGCAGTCTGGTGAGAAAAGATTCGCGAATCGCGCAAACATGACGTTGATCGTGGGGAATATTCCCTTCGAAAACAAAACTCACCTACTGCGTCTTCAGCGGTTCGGATTT